CATACTTTAAAAAGTAAGCCTTATTACCTTATGAGTTCAAAAAAAATTTACTTGGGCATTGCCTTAAAAATGTAAACTTTCATTATATTATTTTTCAAGGATGAGACAGGGAAAAAGTATTATCTGGGGAAAACTTTTCATGTGAGTAATAATCCAGAAAGGGCCCTGTTTAGTCTCCTTAATCTATGAGATGGGTAAACTGCTATTTGACAGGTTAAAAATAAATCTTCATGAGCTTAAGAAACACTTACCAATGTCATTAACAAAGATGAAGAATAATAAGACGATAAATACATTGGATTTCCAAACATCAACACAAAACAAAGGAGAACTGAAATCTAAGAATTGAAGGAAAAAACACATTTTATAGTCATTAGACAGACAGCATAATGTGTCTTTTTCTGCAGGGATGTATCATTTCTAATACAAATTTTATTTGCATAAATAAGATTAAAAGATAGATCTTGACCAAGTGATAACAGAATTTCAACATATTTATAGATTCTAAGTATTTTCAACATCATAAATACTATATAGCAGAATTTAATTTTTTCTCTATTTGCAACTTTGTAGAAATAAAATAGAAAAAAAAACTATTGTTTCTATTGATTCAATAATGGAGAAAGACTTACTTATAAGTCTTAGTTTTCTAATCTTATTTTTTGTTGAACTACTTGAATATTTCCATCACTAATGAAGGTTTATTTTATGTTCTTATCTAAAAGATTTTTAGTTTTTATTTTCCTAAGGGAGATGTGTTTGGAGAGTAAGATAAAAACAATAATGCAAAACATCAGTTTTACAGAGTGTTACACTCATGCGACGTGTTAAAAATCTCAAGCCTCAGGGAGAAAAGGCAGTTTCAAAAGTAGTGACAATAATAATAAAACAAAAATTTTTAAAAAGTTTCAGAGAATACAAAACATCTATAGTTAAGAGTATAATCTGCTATAACATGGCATTTGGTTATCCTCTAAATATTGTCAACATCATATGTATTAAATACAACTTGAGAGGAGGTATATAAAACAGAATCACTTCTGTTTTATAAACCCTGAGATCTTATTTTAATATATGACTTAAAAATATCAAGAATGTTACCATGTTCATATAGATGATCTTCTGAAATTTGTTTGGCTCAATGTACCCCACAACATACATAGGAAATAATGAAGCTATCTGAAATAAAAATATAAAAAAAGCAAAAAATTAAATGTAGAAAAGCATTTCACTATTCATAAGCATAAGAAGAGAGTTATAAGAAGAGAGCTATATTTCCAATAATGATAGTCACAGTAATGTGAGTCAGCCTTTTCACTGAGAACTACAATAGCTAAGAAAAAATATTTATATGTAAGCCACAGATTACTAAGAGGGCAAAAAGAATTGGGAATCTAAGACTAGAGAAAAGATGGAAATCTACAGAGATGAGCATAATATTTTGGGTCATTTTTCTCCCAGAGGCATCTGCTAATTCTAAAAGAAGCGGATGCCTGCCAGCTGAGAGGCAGCTGAGAGATTTCTACAAGCTTAGTAGTCAGGGAAACCCCAAAATGGGGTCCCTGCTAAGTCCCCAAGCTTTAGTTTGTACTTCAAAGGGTAATACGATAAGAGAGAACCAGAAATCAAAGTAGCCCTGGGAAATACTGAAGCTCACCTTTGAATTATCTCAATCTCTGATTGCATGAGTGATTAAAGATTGTTAGTCCCTATATTTGCCTATGGGAAGCAATTCTAATTTTCTCTGAAAGAAGTTTGTATCATCTTAGTCTCAAATTAACTCTACAATTATTCATATACAATGTTCAATACCACATCAAAACTAATCAGATGTAGGGGGAGATAAGACACTACCACTAAGACAATAGAAACAGACCTACAAAGACTCTACATCTAGTTTAGGGGTCAGCAAACTTTTTACGTAAAAAGCCAGAGAGTAAATATAATTTGTGGGCCACATATAGTCTCTATTGTATATTCTTCATCTTCTATACTCTTTAAACAACACTGAAAAACTGTGAAAACTACTCTTAGCTCACAAATCACTCAAAAATATGTCTGGAAAAGTTTGAAAATTCCAAGAGGCTACTGAAAGCCACACACACACACAAAGAACAAATTAAAAAGGTACAACAAGTATTAGAATGATCAATAATAAGTCAAATATGGGTTTAAAAGCAGGTTAAATATAGCCAGACAGAAAAGTGATAAATTGGAAGACAGGTCAGAAGAAAGCATAAAATGGACAAAAGGATGAACAATATATGAAGAACAGAAGAAATGTAGAGCACATAGTGTAAAGACCAGACTTCAATCTCAGAAAGGGATAAGGGAATTAAGTAAAAGCAATTATTTAAAGAAATTATATCTGAGAAGTTCCCAAAATTTATAGAAAAAAAAATCAAGAACTGATTCATAAAGTATGAGCAGCCTCCAGCAAGGGATAAATTAAGACAAACAAAACCTGACCACACTTAGGAATATAATGTAAAAACTGCTTATAACCAAAGGTAACTAGAAAACTCTTTAAAAGAGTCTGAGACTAACTGACTTTAAGATTTACTATAAAGCTGCAGTAATTATGAGAGTATGGCACTGGAGAGAAAAATAGACAAATTGATCAACGGAATAAAAAAGAGCCCAGAAACAGATCCACAAAACTACAGGCAACTGAGCTTTGACAACAGAGCGAAGTAATTCAAAGGAGAATTGACAGTCTTCAACAAATGGTGCTCAAAGACTTGGACACTCACACAGCAAAAAAAACAAACAAACTACAGACTTAACACCTTCCAAAAAATTGACTTAAATGTATCTTAGACCTAAATGGAGAACATAGACAAAAAACTTCTAAAAGATAACATGGGAGAAAATCAAGGTGATCTTGTTTAAGGATGAGTTTTTAGAAATAACAACAAAAGCATGATCCATGGAAGAAAAAACTGATGAACTGAACTCCCTTAAGATCAAAAACTCCAGCTCTGCAAAAGACACTATTAAGAAAACTAAAAGACAAGCAAGGGATTGGGGAAAGATCTTTGCAAAACCCACATCTGATAAAGGTCTGGTATGTAAAATATACTAAGAACTCTAAAAACTCAGCAATAAGAAAACAAATAATCCAATTAAAAAAATGGGCAAAAGCTCTGAGCAAATAACCTAACCAAAGAAGATATACAGAGGGCAAATAAGCATATGTAAAGATGCTAAGCACAATACTCCACTAGGGAATTGTAAATCAAAGCAACAATGAGATACTGCTTCTAACATATCAGAATGGCTAATATCCAAAAAACTGACAAAATTGGCAATTTCTTACAAAACTAAGCATCGTCTTACCATACAAACCACCAATCACATTCCTGGGTATTTACCCAATTGAGTTGAAATCCTATGCCCACTCAAAACCTTCACATGGGGGGAGGATATAGCTCAAGTGATAGAGTGCATGCTTAGCATGCATGAGGTCCTGGGTTCAATCCCCAGTACCTCCTCTAAAAATAAATAAAACCTAATTATCTTCCCCCACCACCAAAAGAAAAATAATTAAATAATACAATAAATAATATATTTTTTAAGACTTCACACCAAAGACTAGAATCAGCAAAGACTAGAAGCAACGATGATGTCTTTCAAGAGATGGATGGATAAACAAACTGTGGTACATTCATACAATGGAGTATTATTCATCAATAAAAAGAAATGAGCCATCAAATCATGAAAAGACATGGAGGAACCTAAAATACACACAGCTAAGTGAAAGAAGCAAGTCTGAAAAGGTGACACACTCTATGATTCTAACTACATGACATTTTATTTTGGCTATATTTTATTACATTAAAAATTGTAGAGCTCTGCTGTGAATTACAGTGTTAACATTTCTTGTACTAGTAGAGGGCTGCATTCACAATAATTATGTCTGGGCCCAGGAATTCTTTTTTGGGGGGGGCCTCTGAAAAGTCCCATGCAATTTAACATTCAGCAGTAACCAGATTATGCATTTATTATACAAATACAACAACAATGGATAATTCATTCAAGAATCCCAAAGAGATGTTTGATTTAAAGAGGTACCAGTTGAATATGGTAATACTTTCAAGTAATAACCAATTTCCCTGAATATAGTTTTCTAGAACTTTTTTTATAGCTTAGTTGCCTGGAGCTTAAAGTACAGTTTCTTAGAAAACAATACTTTAAATTCAAGTCCATTCAATGGATGCTAAAGGGTCAATGCTATCTCCACCCTAAAGAAACTTACTTGCCAGTGGTGTGGAAAAGAGCAAA